AAAAAAAAAAGGACCCGGAGGTCGATGTGGAGTCAGAGGTGCTGCGCGCGTCCCTGCGGCTCTGCCGCTCCCGCTACCCGTTCATTCACCTGGCGGCAGACGTCCTCTCGGGCCTCGCACGGCATCAGGACAGGGTGGCCGTCAAGGCGGTCGACACGGTTCTGGAGGCTATGCACAGGGCGATAGAGGTGTGGCTTGCTTGCGTGTTTGTCTTGGGGACTTTCCATGGTCTACAGTAGTGGATAATTTTATTGAATTCTCCTCGCCCTTGTTTGCCCTTCACAGCCGCCCGTGGTCGAGACCGCTGAATGTTTTTCGTCGGCGAGAAGGTCGGTGAAGAATACCCCGCGACCCCCTCGCCCCCAAAACACTCGCTTACCGTACATCCATCCAATAATTTCGCCTGTAGCCTCTTAGTTGATCAGGTCCTAACAACTTCACCGGGTACCCTGCTCCCTAAGCCCGCAAAACTTCAGTACTGTACTCGAACCACTTCCCCATGTCTCTCTTGCTGTGTGGACGCTCGGCGCCTTGGTAGGGACGCAGCCTTGCGTGAGATTATGGAGTTGAATATTCCCGCCCCCTCGCAATGCCCCCCCGCTTCGTTTTTTTTTCGTCCATAACGGTTTCATCGGGGTTTCCACCGTGCCAGTTGCCCGGCGGGGGCGGCGGGGAGTCCCAGCGGCTGGTGGGGTACGCTCGTCTTCTTGGAGAGCTGTACAACTACGCCGTCGTCGGCTCTCCGACAATTTTTGAAACGCTCCACCTTCTCGTCGACAGCGGCCACGAGGTAGTCTATCGACCTGTATGTCCGCGTTGGTAGAGTCGGGGTGATGTAAATTTCTCGCATGCCCGGCTGGGGTAGAGCCAGAGAGAGAGCCGCAGGATTGGAGGCGAAGCACACTTTTCAAACGGATATATAGTTGGTGCTGTTGTAGCATGTGCGTGCGGTCGGTACCGCGCGGGGGTAGACGGAGTTTCTGTTGCTGGGAGCGATGGCAGAGTCTCGACACCCGCCCTCTTCGTTTTTTTTTAGTTCAGTTTCGAATGCATTTATCGACTTGAGCAGTAAAGTGGAATAGCATTGGTGTGCAAACAAAGTTTTAGTTCTAGCGACCGGGCCCTGCAAGTCCCACAAAAGGGTCCAGTGCTCTCTTGTCTTTTTTTGCGTTTCATCTGCATTGCGTTAAGATGTTGGTGCCCCCGGAGATGAAGATTCGCCTCGAATGCATTTCATTTCCTTCTGTTGCTCCTTTTTTCCCCATCATCTTTTCCTATGCTTTTTTTGGTAGTTGCCTTGTTCTCTCTTCGCGCTTGGTGTCACCAATCTACTCGGCGTAAAAAAACGCAGGTGCCCCCGGAGATGAAGCAACCCCGACCCGACCCCAGGAACCCAGCGAGAGGAGCGATGATACCTCCAGCCGCGGCCCCGTGGGCGAGGTTTGACCCACGAGTGCGCTCCCCGACAGGTACGGCTGGGGCTGACTCGCTCGCGCTTGCCTTCTTTTTTTTTTTTAAGCATCTTGTGCTTGACTCTCCTGAGAGAAATCCCGAATCCCTCGCTATGTCGGACGCGGAACGCATGCGGTCACTCCAGTTCGAGTACGCTTGTTTCACTAGGATGGTGTTGACGGTGTTTTTCTCGCTCGTTCTGACTTTCTTGTTGAATAGTTCTTGCTTGTATTGACACTTTCGGTAGCGGCTGACAAACAAACGCGGGTGCAGGGAGCACAGGATTGTCGGTGTTGCAGCGGACTTCTTGTGCGTCTCGCCGAAAATGAAAATAAAGATAAGCGCTCATGTGTACCGCGTTGGATACTGTCCTATGTGAAAACAAAATTGCTTTCGGGTAACACAACAGTATTCTGATTCATACGCAACATTAAATGCATCGTTTTCGACACGCCGGTAGCCCCCCTGCCCTCTTTCGTTTCCAACATTGAGCGGAAGAACGTGAGTGTTGACGAGGTTATCTCAACNAGACTAGGGAAGACATTTTTGAGCCACGGTTGGCAGAGTAGGAAGGAACGATTGGCCATCGGTGATGGGTCCTGTGGGAACAATGCTCCGTCTCCCCCCTACCACGTGTTTGCCATCGGGATTGGGTTTTCGTCGCTTGGCAACGACGTTGTAAAACAAGCCGCCCCCCCCGGTGTTTGCCATCGGGATTGGGTTTTCGTCGCTTGGCAACGACGTTGTAAAACAAGCCAATTCACTTCGTGAACTCGGCAACCAGGTTACCGTCTTTTTTTTTTTGGCGGTAACCATAATGGTGGTCAAGTAGATCATGTTGTGCGGGGTCGAGAACCCTCACTCCTGGCAAGGGGGATGATCGCACCACGTTGTGTTGAAATGGTCAAGCACCCTCGAGGCAGTTACACAGTGATTACAACTGTCAGGAAGTGAAAGCACCAGAAAATAAATTAAGTCATACGCAGCTGTCATCCGTACGCAAGGAAGTAAGCACAAGATGCCGAACACCCTTAGCAGGATGCAGCGCACCCTTCATGCGACTCGCCGAATATCTCACGGCGCTTCGCGCTTGGTGATGTGAGAGCCTGGTCCGGTGAGAACCCGGCGTGCTCCGTCCCGGCTTTGTAGGGATGCGAGGTCAATGGTCTAACGACTACGGCATGCACGACTATGAGTACACCCCCCCCCCCCCCCCCCCCCCCCCCCCATCTCCCCATCTCCACTCCTGCTGTCACACAAAACCCTTCCCCTTACCTTCTGTTTCGTCGCAGATCCCCCAGGAGATTGCCTCCGCATTCGGCTTGTGGTAGCGGTGTTGGAGGGGTGCGGGAGCTATTTCGTGCGCGGCGCGGGGCTGGACAAGCTGTCCAAGTTCTTGGGAGTGTTCCAGAGGTACAGTACAGCAGTCGTGCACATCAATAGCACATTTTTCCTTGTTTTTGTTGGCCTTCTCGACGTTGTTATCGGGAGGGTTTCGCACCAGGGATCATTTTCCTGCCCGTCTTGCGGGCAGTATACCCCCATTCGCCATCTGTCAAGTTTTTGTGTTTGTTCTCTTTAGAGAAAGGGTCATCGCTTATGAGAGACAGAAATATTGCACGCATAAGACTTGTATGTCCCAGGGAGGTTGTATGATAACGCTGGTGGGAAAACCATCATCCCGAATATCCCGTCCTATGTCCACTTGTGTAGCGCCTATTCCGCATGGCTGTTATTCATCTGCAAGCATTCGCGCTATGAAGAAATTTTGTGCTAAGCCGACTCTCCATCCTCCGCTGCGTGTGACCGGCCGTGCATGTTTTTCCGCGCTTTCTATCTCCCTAAGGTACCTGTTCTGCAAGGAAGGGCTTCCGGCGGGGACAGAGTTCGCCGTGCTGGACCTCCTAGATGACTTGGAGTCGGGTGCGAAGGCCGCCAGGGCTAAGGACAGGGCGAAGGCGAGGAAAGCAGCGCAGGAGGTGAGATAGGTTTATGCCGGTAACGTTTTGTTTTGTTTTGCCGCTCTCTCTTTTTTTTTTTTTCCATGGTGGGCGGTGGAAGGCAAGAAGGAATCCATGAAGCATGGTAAACTTAAACGTTTCTGGCCGATACTGTGTGCTGTGGTACAGGGGTGGCGCGTGTGAAGGGGCGGTGTACTTATGGTCGTGCATGCCGTAGTCGTTGGACCATTGACCTCGTATCCCTACAAAGCCGGGCCGGAGCACGCCGGGTTCTCACCGGACCAGGCTCTCACATCACCAAGCACGAAGCGCCGTGAGGTATTCGACGAGTCGCAAGAAGGTTTTTGTGAGGAGGGGGTATTGATGTTTCTTGTGCGTTTGGACTTTGTTTCGTCGTTCTCCTTGGCACGTGCTTCCCGTATTGACTTGTGGCTGTCTCGTTTGCGATCGTCCACCTTGCCTTTGTCCGCGCGGTACTTTGTTTGCGTGCACGCTTGTAGTAGCCCTTGGATGCCATTCTTTACCCTTACCCTGCGTAGCCGGGTGTGTGTGGGTCGCCGGAGGCCACACATTTTTGTAGGTGTACTCTGATTTGTCAAAAAAAAAATTATGTCAGCAGGAAGACGTTGTGGCTACCATCCCGAGTACCTCGGCGCCCTCGATTTCAACCCACACGTACACCCGCAAGAATATGGAACAAAACCCCGCTCCATCCCGTGGCGGTGCTTTTGATACACCTGGGGAAGCTTTTGTCGCGCGCTCCGTTGGATATCGCTTCTGAATTTGGTTCCAACGGCCCCTGGCATGGACCCGTACCGGTAAGGTATATCATGAAGGCCGAAGCATGCCCGCCCTCCCTCCCATCGTATGTAACCGTCCTTTAAATATTGCTCATCAAGGCCGAAGCAAAAGGTCGTGGTCGACGAGACGGAGGCAAGAAGGACAAGGGGGCGGCGGAGGAGGAGGAGGAGAAAGACGACGGTTCTATCCTGCCCAGATATCGTACGTGGGAGGAGGCACAAGCGGCCGTCGAGGAAATGGACAAGTAAGTGCCGCCTGCTCTTAGGCCGGTGTGTCACCCTTTTTGTGGTGATTTGTTCCCGGGCCAGTTTGCCAATTTTTTGTGGTGGTTTGTTCCCAGGCCAGTTTGTCACTTGTTTGTGATAATTTGTTCCCAGGCCAGTCTGTCACTTTTGTTGTGGTAATTTGTTCCCAGGCCAGTTGGTCACTTTTTTGTCGTAATTTGTTCCCGGGCCAGTTTGTCATTTTTTTGTCGTAGTTTGTTCCCAGGCCAGTTTTGTCATTTGTTTGTGGTAATTTGTTCCCAGGCCAGTCTGTCACTTTTTTGTGGTGATTTGTTCCCAGGCCAGTTTGTCACTTGTTTGTGGTAAGTTGTTCCCAGGCCAGTCTGTCATTTTTTTTGTGGTAATTTGTTCCCAGGCCAGTTTGTCACTTTTTTTTGTCGTAACTCGTTCCCTGGCCAGTTTGTCACGTTATTGTGTTCCTCTATTGCGTTTTCGTGTAAGACGAATCTTGTCCTGCCGCGGACCCCCCCTTATTTATTCTGCTTTGTTCCTGTTCATATTCCATTTTTAAGGGGAGGTCATGTTTCGAGGTTTCTGTGATTGCTGGACAGAATGTTTTTCTTCACACCCAAGACGCCCCTGCTTCGTCGTCGCCCGCATTGGAGGATCTCTCAACGAGTTCTTGCAGCACCGGTCACTTTTTCGCCTTACGCCTTTGGTTCAATATATCATGTACTCCAGTAGCCCATATGACAGGTGTATACAATAATCCAATCCGATCACTGAATCAGTATACCGAAAAGTATTCCGGTAATGCTCCTTAGGTCATTACCTACATATGACTGGTGAAGACTTCAACAAATGCTGCCGCTGTTGCGCCCCGTCTCCTGGTGTGCTGTGCAGGGTCTGGGCGGAGGACCACAAACGACGCATGTCCCGAGTTGCCGAGCTTCAGGGAAGAAGAGATGCAGAGGGGGAAGAGACGCCGGAGGATAATGGGACGGACGATGACGACGACGATGATGACGAGGAGGAAGAAGAAGAGGAGGGAGGGTCAGGTAGGCTTGTATACGAAGGACGAGAGCTCATGGGGTGTGTGATTGTTGCCTCCGCTCATATCTTCTATCTGCTGTATGTTTTTGGTGTAGAGGATGACTATCTAGAGGGAGGATCAGGTAGGCTTGTAAAACGATTAAGATCAATGACGGGGCTTCTTGGGGGTGTATTGCGCTTGTTTCCCGGGCTCATATCTTCGTCCCGCGGCATGTGTCCCGTACAATAGTTCCATCTCTTGCTGTTGTGACAAGTGTCGAGGGCGGGTTTGAATTGTGTTCATCGACCTCAACACGAGGGATCGCTGGAGTTGCGATGCTATCCGCCTGGTCCTCGAATCCAATGTAGCGTCTGTATCGCGTTCCGCGCGCCATCCTCTCTCGTGTCAGTTACTATTGTAGATTAATTTCTGGGGCTTTGTGGGAGATTCGGCCTCTCTTTTCTACCTTACCCTGGCACTGCTGTTATTGATGCAGATTAGCTTGGCTCCCGTGGGCCTGAACACTCTCTCGTTCATCCCCAACCTTATCCGCAATGTGTTGTGTCGTCGTATTTTTCATTTTTCCCCCATGTTGCCAACCTTTCATGCAGGGTCCGAGACTGAAGAAGACGGCAACGACTTGGACTCGCAAAGACAGGTTCGTTTTGACAACACACCTGTCGAAATTGAACTCCCCAAGGCGCCTCAACATCAGATACCACCTTCTTCACAACCATCATGTTCTTGCTTGTGGTATACATGCGTGTCCTCCCCAAAGCAAAGCCTACATAAACACGCCCCTTTGGATTGAACTCCTTGAGCTTGGACCATCGGGTCTGTATTTCGGCACCAGTACGCGCAGTTTGCCCTTACAGTATGCCGTACCCCCTCACACGTTGGTTGTTTTAGCTCACCAAGCGTTGATTTGATGTGAAGTGAAGACAAAAAAGCAGGAAAACGTCACCCCAATCCGGTGCGTTTCTTGCGCGTGTGTCTCCCAGAGGGAAGATGTAGACGAAGGTGAGGAAGAAGAGGACGAGGAGGAGGTGGTTCTGAACGGGTGGGGTGCGAGTGTGGAGAGGACGGAGGAGGACGGTGAAGCGGAGGACGAGTTCGAGGCGCTGCTGAGCAAGACCATGTCGGAGAGCGTGGAGAAGACCAAGATCGCTAGGGCCACCACCCAGGTGCTTTTCCACTATGATAGCTTTGCGAGGATTGGAGCTTGTTTTTTGTAGGGGTTGCGGGTTTGGGTTGGAGGGAAGGGTTAGGGTTAAGAAACCATCCTCTCAATTCGACATGTACAATACATGAAACGCTTAGTATTCTCGCGAAGGCGATCCTGCTTTTTACGGTGCCGCCCTGTATTGCTCACGAAAGTCAGTTGTTGAGAGATACTGCAATTACATTCAAGGTTTCGTTTCGGAGGTACTCATCATGTGTCGCTTTCTAGCGCGTGCCAGAGAGCGAGGAAACCCAACCACCGAGTGTTTCTCCTGTATCGTAGCCGTCGTCGTTGTTGCTGTCGTTGTGGCTGTGTTGGTCTTGGTTGTTTGTTTTTGTTTTCTGTTGGTGGGGGTGATGACGGTCTTCTGGCCAGGAAGCTTGTATTATGGCTGATGCAATGGTGCAATGTGGGTGTCCCTGCTCGGCCAAAACTGTTGCTCGTTAGGTGATGGGCCACATGGCGGTGCCAAGGGTGCTCAAGAACACCAACGTCCGGACGGCCACGCATCAAGCGCCACTCACAGGTGAGCAAGAGCGACGAGAACGCGTACAGGAAGTAGATGGGCAACGAAATCGATCGATAGCGCTACGTAAACGAACAGGTAGTGCAACGAGGGCGACAACTATCGACGCGAAGAGAACAGGTGTAACAGCGTTGAACCCTCTTGCAAAACGCCGTAAGTTTTTTGTGTACGGCCCCTGGAGTTGGGGGTGTTTCTTGTCCCACGGTAGAAGGCTCTTCTCGCATTGACAAACATGAAGAGCCTTCGTCGGAGCGGGTGGACGAAAGGCCTTCGAAAACACCTCCTGTTCAGTACGCGTACAATGATGATAATCTTCTCCCTCTTTGATTGATTGTGCTTGTCAAAGGCGGGGCGGGCGTGGCGTTCAAGCTGCTCAAGCGCGGGAACAAGGGCAAGATGGAGGCTCAGGAGGTGGTGGTGCCCGAGTCGACGTCGCTAGCGGCGCAAGTGAACCGCAACGAGGAGGCCAGTCGAGAGGAGAGCTCCATCATCAAGGCTAGGGTAAGTGCTCGCTCGCGCGAACAGCGTCTTCTTCTTCCTGTAAATAGCATGCGTATTTCACGATGTCTGGAAAAATATTGGGACCATTTGGGGAGATGTGTGAATACCTCAGGGTACGTGCTCGCTACCGCAAACAGCGTTTTCTTCTTCCTCATGCGTATCCCACGATGTCTGGAAATGTAGGGACCAGTCGAGTGTTCAAGCGAATATCGTATGGTGTATCTATCTACCCATGAGACTCGCATGAGATTACCACACAGCCCTGGGCCGAGTTTCGAGAGTGCCAAAATGAAGCGATGCATCATCGAAAAGCTCACGTAGAGACGGTTTCAGCGCCGCCATGTTCGGCGCCGTCACTGTTACTGCCACAGTGCAGCCGAGCAGTCGGTTCAGAGGGTGTGGTATCTTGCGTCACCTACCGTACGCGTCGCTGGAGTGACCCATGTGTAGTCGTGCAATGCGTATCTCTTGGTCGACGGGCCCGTCATCACACCGTTAGTAATGTGGTTGTGACATACACCATTTGCACGTTCCGTTTGTAACCTCTCACGGCGAGATTGTTTCTCATGGGTGTCGAAACTGGCAAGGGCTTGATTACCTGTCTGACACCCGAATCGTTTTCTTATCGCCGCGTTACGGTGTTCTGGCTTGGTGTTGGTGATACAGGCATCCCTCCCTTTGTGCCTCTTACGGCCCAAAATTGCAATTTGAATTCAGGTGACCCTGCTGCCGTGCTGTTTTTGCTGCCGCAGGTACTAGCCTACGAGGCGAACATCGAGGCGGCCGTCTTGGCGCAGGATGCGGGCGAGATGCCGCTGCCAGAGGACTACACCCAGTTCATTCCGAAGGTACATGGCTTCGAGGATACCTCTTGTCTGTTATCCTCCAACAGCTGTTTGCCGTGAACCGAATCGATGAGCACGCATTTTGTGGAGTAAGCCCCCATCTACACGCAAGGCGTAGATACCTTCCAACACCCGACCCCCCCCCATCTTGTCGGCTTATCAGGTGCACAATGCCCCACTTCACCCAGAAGGGGGGAAGGCATCCACGAAGTCCGGCGGGCGCGGTGGCGGCGCCGGACGCGGAAGAGGGGGGGGTCGGGACCTCCTGGCTCAAACCAGCGGCGGTGGAGGTGGCGGGGGTAGGAGGCGATGATTACAACGGCGGCGAACCTTTTTCCTGAGGCCGGCGCTACCGCTGCTTTCTCTCTCTCGTGTGTTGATCGATTGAGTCGCCATCGTCGTCTCTACACGAGCGAAAATTGCCGCCTGTGTGCCTTTGGCCGTGCGTTTTGGTTCGGGATGAAAGGCGCTCTTGTTGTGCCTCAGAGCTGCTGCTGCCGGTACCAAGTGCGAGCTTGTCCCGCCCAGAACAATCACGGCAGGACCGTAACGGCATGTCAACTCCCGCGGAAGCATCCGAGACAACAAGTCGATTCGGTTCGACTACACAAGAGAGAGGAGCGGGACAAGGCTGGGTGAATACTCACAGAGCAATTCACGCCGTTTTGCGGGAGTTTTTGTGTTCCCCCTGGCGAAAAAAGTCACCTGGCAAAGGCGTTTGCTCATGGCGAGAAACTCTGCCACACTGCTGCTACTGCTGCTGCTGCGTCGCTTGACGGAGCCTCGCTTGGGTGATGGCAATAAGATGCGCCGGCGCACCCCAGCCTAACCTGCTACGTTGGACGGGAGTAGACCGAGCGCGGGATGTGTGGAACGGTGCTGGCAGTGTTTTGTTGGGGTATTCTGGAAAATCGTTTCGGGGGTGCCGGTTTCTGCTGCCGCACGTGGTGGAGTGAAGGCCAGGGGTGCGGAGTCAAAGCCGAGTGGCAGCTCTTTTGCCTTGGCGGGTGCTTTTGAAGCATTGGCAGCGGCCAACTGCAAATAGACGTACGTCCTTTGCCGCTCGCTCTGCGTGGCGCACACGGACGGGGTAGTACGGTGCACCCGTTGTTCGGCTCTTCTGCAACCGCCATCTGCGGTTACCAAGAGGCGTTTTGGTCGCAAACGCCTCCCCTTGGGGGTACAGTGGCGTCAAGCCAACCCCCGCCTTGTCGAGGTTCAGCAGAGATTGGTTGATATCGTGCTTTGCTGTGTGTCGAAGGCACGCTTACGGTTGTACCACCAAGGGCTTTGCATGGGACAGCAGAAGCACCCCTCCCCCACCCACCCCCCTTCGTTTTGTTGGGTTTTTGCCTGACGTTCACGTAAAATAGCGCGAAATGGTGTGCGATCCTCGCCTGCCGTTTGTTCACGTAAAGTAGTAGGAAAAGGCGTGTGGCTTTGCCCCAAGCTTTTCGACACCGACACGTCATGCTTGCGGACAACTGCTGTGACGCAATTTGTTTTGCACGGTAGGGTGGGTGGTAGAGCAGGGGCGACTTGTGATGGTGTCATTTCTGGTGGCAGGTGTAAAGGATGTGCACGCGCGGTGCAATCTGGGAGACCCGTGAAGACGAACTCACTTGTTATTAACTCGTGTGGAACAGCTGCAGTAGCTGTTGCCAAGGGAAGGTAGAGGACGGACTAGGATGGGGCCAGGATCAGCTGCTAAAGCAGGGGCTGCTAGATCATGTCCTGTTTTTGTCCTTCCGTGGGGAGTTGCATCTCCCGCACTTTCTCTGGGCATTAGCCCGCACTATGGTTTGTACTTTCCTACACATTCAAATCCCATAACACTAGCCCACCCTGGAGGTTCTCATTCACAGATACGTAAATCTCGGAACTTGACAATTACTTGTCGAATCTCAAATGAGAGTATCGAGGATGCGGAGCTCCAAAATACCACAATTTTCCCTCCCACACCTCTCACTCGATGGGTCGCAAGCATCGTTTGACCTATAAAAAGAAGGTACAGGAAACAATAAACTGGGGCTAACAGAGAGGAAACCAACGGGAGAGTCGCAACAGGCGAAGGCTACAAATACCATAACAGGTCAGAACCCGAAAGGGGGAAAAGCGGACACGAAAGAAACGAACAAAATAAGCGTCGCCGGGCGACGGAAAGGGAACGGTGAAAACAAAAGGCCTGTATCGACAAAACGATAAGATATGCCAAATAATCACCACGGTAGCGGGGGAGCGACAACAAAGGTCACGAAACACCTTTAGTCCGCAAACTCAAAGAAGTAGCGGCAAAAATATACGAAAAAGTACAAGAGCATCACAACGAACCAAAAGGCTGGAAACCAAACGTTTCGGAAGCGAAACCAAGAAGAAGAGGGGTCGTGACACTAAACAACAGCTGGCAAAACCTCGGCAGGGAACAGAGAAAGCTCGACCTGGCGGACTATTAAAGCCAATAGAAAGAAAAGGAGAAAACGAAAACAAACATGCTATTGCAAGAACAACAGAAGGCAAAAACAACTAAGCATGCCATCTTACTGTGGGCGCGCGACGTCATCAGACAACGAATCTGTCACAAAGTCGCCACGCGACATGTCGATGTTGCGAAGAACACCCTTGAATAGGGCGCTGCCGCTGTGTACTTGAAGGCACCAGGATCCGGAGACGGCGATTTCGACGGTAGAGTAGCGAACATCGGGAAGAGCGCGAGCTTGACAGGTCCAGGATCGTCCAAGAAGCGGACGACGTAGAAGTCGGGCGGTAGAGAGGTGGTACAGAAATCTTGCCCAACCAGAGCCCATCTTGTGTCTTGTACCAGAAGAAGGCGCCCACCGGTAGAGGAGTGTTGACAAAGCGACGGTCCAATATTGAGCGGGAAACAAGCGAGTAGCCCGAAGGCAAAGCTCGCGCACCTTGAGCACGCGCCAATTCCCTGGTAGCGGCCCCAATGCGCATCGCACGATAACGGCGATTTGTGTGGCGATGTTGGTCAGGCAAACCTGCCCAGTACCGGAGAATGTGCGGCTTGGAATGCTGCAGGTCCATCTCACGCTCCCAAGAAGGGCGCAGAAGGCCCTGCCAGTGTGTCTGATATAAAACAGCTATCGTGCTCCCACGGCCACGGACGGACTGGTGGCCACTAATGCGTTCAACCTCTAAACGTTAAACCGGAGTCGACACGTCGTCTTCCGTAACATGGTAGGGAGGAGATTGGTTCGCATAAGAGTTCAGGACATACGGAGTACGACCAGCGGGCAGAAAGCGCGGTAGGTCATCGGTGTCATGCGGGTTGGCGTAAGGCTTGCAACGCACAACCGAAACACGAGGTTTCGAGTCTTGGCCCGGCAGATCCGAAGGAAGATCCAAGTGAAGCAACTTGGAAGCCAAAGGACGACCGCCAGGGCTGTCAGAACACGGGCCCACAGCCAAGATTTTGAAGGGGCCAGTCCAGAGTAGAGATAACTTGGCTTTGAGAATCTTATTATGTGTGCCTGACCCTTGTCGAATAGTAGATTTGGAGTTATACACCCAAACCCATCCGCCAACAGTGTAAGAAGGAAGCTTGTGGAAAGCGTCCGATAGAGTGGAATTTCGCCGCCCAATCCGCGAAACGGACAGGTTATGCTGTTCACGCACCAAGTCGTAAGAACGACGTTGGCGATCAGCAGCACGATCGCAATATTCGAGTTGATCACGATGCAAGCTTTGGTGGCCACGAGCGTAAGGATGCTCAAGAGCAGTCATCGGTACACGAGGCAATCGATTCAAATGCACCTCATTGGGTGCTAAACCGGTAGCGGCGCTAACGGAATTGTTGTAAGCAAACGCGACGTGGGGGAGATGAATGTCCCAATCATCTTGTCGTTCGTTGACGACCATAGTCAACATCTGAGCCATAGTGTGGTTGACACGATCCACACCCCCACTTCCATTGGGATGGTACGAGCTAGTAGCCACTTTGCGGATAGCAAGACGGGCATACACGACTTGTGACAACTTAGAGCAAAACTGAGAGCCGTTGTCAGACAAAAGACTCAACGGGCAACCCCACAAAGGGATATACCTGTTGACAAGGATGTCAGCTGTGCCTTCGGCGGTGAATTATGCAGCCGTAACCGCGTACATATCAGCACGGCGGCTGAAACGGTCGGTAAAGAGCAGAATGTATGTGTTGCCACGCGGTGTCAACGGAAGTGGACCAAAATAGTCAACACTCACCGACACACCAGGGCCCGAAGGCAAAGGAAGGGACATGGTAGGCCACCGAGGAGTCTGACGAGACGATTTACGGGCTTGGCATCGCAAACAATGCCGCACCCACCATTTCGTACAAACACTCATGCCAATCCACCAATAGAAACGTTCCAGCATGCTAAGCGTGCGAGCCGCACCGAGGTGACAGGACGCATCAGCGTGGCAGACTTGCATCATCCACGGACGCATGAGCATGGGAACATAAATCCGAATGGGTTCATCGTTAAGAAGGCGAGCAGCACGTCCGCCAGGACGTGTGGTCGTGGACGACGGGGTCGCTGTTTGCTTGCGAACAAGCAAGACCAAACCATCATCGTCAACATGCAACCGGCCTTTGTTAGACAGGTCACGAATCTCCGAAAGAGAGGGTCGACGAGCGGACGGAACACGGTCCAAGAAATCCGAAGGGAGGACCGAAGGCCGACCCAGAAGGATGAAACGAATGGCTGCATCACACACAGGTTCGTTACGTTGCTCGCGAGCCCAATCAGCATGCGAGAAACGTTCGACGGACGCCCGGAAGGCTAAATCCGCCGAAGAATGTAAAGCCGCCTCGATAGAAGAGGGGGCTGATTCGCGAGGCGCCGACTGCAACCCATCCGAGGATAGAGGAGCAATGGAGGCCGAAGGCGAATGCGCGCGAGCGGTTGACACCAAACGCGACAAAGACTCCGAAGAGCCGGGGGCTGCAGAAGGCTGCAAAGCAGGAACAACCGCAGTTGTGGTAGGCGTCGGAGACGCAGTCTCCAGTCCATGAGCCAGAGGCGCAGAGGGAGTCAAGGATAAACCACCAGCACCAGTAGTCGAAACCCAACTGGGCAAGGCTGGCGTCATCGACGGCGACGAAGGCGCCGTCGGGAACCGCCGAAACGGTCGATGGGGAGCGGAAATCCGCGTGGGAGACAAAGTAGGCTCATCGTCAGAAAAACCATAATCAACAGGCGGGAGTGGCGTGCCTGCCACAGCTGCCTTGCGACGGCGAGTCCTGGTGGAGATCACTTGGGTGGGGTCGAGGATCCGACGCGGGTTTCCAAGGGCGGGAACGGCAGACAGAGGCTCGGGCTCGAGAGCCAAAACATCATCGAAAGACTGAGGTAGGGTCCCGGACCAAACGATGAGAGGTCGATTGCGCAATCGCGACCGCGCCGAACGGCAGGACATCTCGGACGGCAAGGGAGCGATCTTGGGCGACAAGGAAGCGACGTTCCAAATGCCCGATGAAGACGAGAGGCCTGATGACGGTAGACGCGGACCGTGCCGACGAAAATCAGCGACGTCAGCCGTACAGGGGGCAAGCCCACCCAAGACCGAAGTCGGGGGATTTGGAACTAGCCCACCCAAGCTAATACCCGCTGCCCGATCACCGGAAGGGGTAAGGCCACGCGACCGGATGAAAAACACCGCCTCTTCATCCTCAGCCGGGGTCAGACGGCTGCGACCCGAGCGGTCGCATTCAGCCGCAGCGACTGAGAGGCGTGAGAGGAAATCAGCGTTGCCATTTGCGGAACCCTTGCGATACTCGAGAGTGTGATTGTAGGCGGTAAGAAATTCCAGCCAGCGCTGAACGCGGGCATTGTTCTCCCCCATCTTAGCAAAATGCTCGAGAGATTTGTGGTCGGTAAAAATGCCAAATTTTGTACCCCACAAGTAGCCGCGAAGGCGCTTGATACACCACACGATGCTACCCGCCTCGAGATCGAGGGGAGTCCAGTGACGTTCTGAGTCCAAAATAGCCCGACTGATGAAGACAATTGGGCGAATGGAAGCATCTGGCTGTTCTCGTTCGAGCGTTCCACCAAACCCATCGCGACTAGCATCACAGTAAAGATGAAAAGGTCGCGAGCCGTCTGAAACAGCATCCCAATCTGGATAAACCAATACGGGGGGATTGGCCAACTCAGCCACTAAAACGCGAACGGCTTGCTTGCTCCATGGGGTGAAGATAAACTTTTCCTGCTTCTTGAATAGAGTAGTCAGAGGGCGAATGCATTTAGCCATGTTGGGGAGAAACTTACGGTAGTACCTGAGACCACCGAGAAGGGAGCGTAGTTGCTTGACATCCCTGGGCATAGGCATTTTGGTGAGGGCCGAAACCTTGGCACCGTTAGGCCTGTCGCCGTCAGGGGAGATGGTGTGTCCGAGGAAGTCCGCTTCAGTAGCGCCAATAGTATCTTTCGGAGGCGTGAGTTTCAAGTTGTGCGTACGCAAGCGTTCAAAGAGTGCGCGCATGGTACCAACATGAGTAGCAGGGGTGTCATGAAAGACGATCAAATCATCCAAGTACGATGCAACACCGCGGAGATTTTTGATGACTTCGTTGACAACTTTGCAAAACTACCCAGGGACAGCCGAACTGCCTTGAGGCATCTTCAACCACTCGAAAAGACGGGAAGACGCCACGAATGCCGTCAAAGGGATTGTATCGCGGTGCACCGTGATTTGGTGGAACGAAGATTTCATGTCGAAAAGGGAATAAATTCGCCCATCCAACAACTTGTCCAAAGTATCATCGACTCGAGGAATCGGAAGCTGACTCAAAGCACAAAGCTTGTTGAGCTTGCTATAATTGACGGTGATGCGAACAACACCAGATTTCTTCGGTATGACTTCCAAAGGGCTCGAGTAAGGCGAGGTCGAATGTTGGATCAAACCTGCCGCCAGATATTGGTCAAGGATCGCGTCAACTTGTTTCGCCACCGGGGGATTAACGCGATAGGGGCGAGACGTGACGGGTGCGCTGCCAGGAGGGACTGTAAGCTTCAAAGAAAAAGCGAACAAGATCCAAAGTCGGTCGGGGAACTCGAAAACACAGCATGGTATTCGCACAAAACGATACCAAGCTGAGAAATGACATCGGAAGTCCAACCCGGGCCGTGGAGATCAAAAGTAATCTCAAGGAGATGGCAGGGGAGCTGATCCCAGACTTGGGAGAAACTTTGACGCTGTTCTGGCGTCAACCGCTCGACAAGAGCAGGAGAAGGCGACGAAGAGGAAGAACTGGGGGAACCAAAGTCCCCTCGGTCGCTTGGCGACGGGACGGGTCGCTCGTGTAAATTATACACAAAGGGGTCAGAGACGGAGTGCGTGGCAGACGAATCAATGCCACCCGCAGAAACAGGACCAGGGACCCAGCTGTCTGAAGCAGCGATGGATTCTGAAGCCGCAGTTTCAAGACCATCGCTCAAACTGTGGCGAGAAACAGCGCTGAGAGGCACGCGAAGGAGGGGAGCCGAAGCTGTATCCAGAACGTCGCCGGGTTCGAGAGACGAGATGCCGCAAGAGGGATTCGTTGGCAACCATTTTGCACAAAATGTTCCTCGGAAGAAAACATAGCACATTGGGGAAGCATATCCACCAAATAGTTACCCACAAGGGCAGGCGAGCCATCATTGCGTACCAAATTGACCTGAATGAGGCTATGCTCTGGGTGAAGTTGAACGGAATGTTTGCCTGCTTAGCGAAGTTGGTAACTTCCATCCGTCGCGGACAGATCGTGAGCAAATGCAGTGGCACCACAAGTGTCATGTTGAGCTGAAGTAAGCTCACCAAAGACACGGTCACCAGGACGTTTCGCACGCAAAGTGCGGTAAGAACGGTCACTAAACCGCATCCAACTATCTCTGCCGAGGAGCACGTCATGATGCATGACGCCGTCAAGAACAACGTATGCCCAAACAGCAAGAGAGGAAGTAGGAAGGTTCTTACGGAGAATTTGAACACTCAAACGGACAATGGTCGAAGTTTGAAGCGGCGCAGATTTCCCAAAGCCACCCCAACAGCGAGGTTGGGTGTGTTTCTCAGACAACGTTGAAGCAGCCAAAGCCGCTTTCATGGATTCCCATGTAGAAGCACTAATAAAAGACTGCGGAGAACCCGTATCCAAATGAGCGATACATCCAAACTGCACAGAGGACGAACCGCTGTGGAGGAGGATTCTGGTGGTGAAAGAGTCGTCATCGATGGTGACAACACTACCAACCAAATCCGGACTCTGCTCTGGGAGCGAGGAGGACGACGGGATGTATTATGAAGACACGGCCCAAACGGCGGTGTCGTGATCCGACGGGATATTCGGAGCGTATTGCAAAAATGACGTGAACCGGTCGGTCGATGGAGGGCACGAAGCCGTCCGAAGGCGCTGGTGTGTGGAAGGGTTAACTTCATACACAGAATGAAGGGACGACGTCGGAACGTGGTCGGTCGGAGGCAGCAAACGAGAGCTGCGCTCGGGAGGCGGGGCACGGTGTCTTAAAAGACTGCGTACGTTCTGTAGGGCGGTGCCTAACAGGTTGAGGCCGCGCCATCTAGATGTGCATCCAGCGTCAGGATGATCGGCCTGGAGGCCAATGCCCCAAACACGGTCGGAAGGACTGGCTTCGGCAAGGATTTTGTCATCAGATCCGAGGAGATGACTTCGTAACTCGGAATTTTGACTTAATTTTGCGTAAGAGCCAGTGAGCACAACGTTTTCGCATTCTTGTTCCCAAAGAGATTGGTCGAAACCACGGACCTCACGGCCAAAATTTTTGTGTAAGGCCGGGTCTGACACTCGCGTGATGTTCTGCAAAGCACAGCGATCTCCGAAAAGACGGGCTTTTTCTGCAGCGAAAAATTGTTCGGCACACGAGTAAGCAACGCCATCGACCGTGAAGGTTGACGGTGCCCATTGGGAAAAAGGGGAGGGCGGCTTCCGAAAGAAAACCATGTCTGGAGTACAATACTCGGTAGACGGGTCGAAAACGGCCGAAGCAACAGAGGCCGGCGCGCCCTGAGTGCTGTTAGTCGAAGCTGGAGTCGCAGCCGAAGATGCGGAGTCATGATGGACAGTATGAACATCCATGGGGGTGGTCCTTGTAACAGCGGGAGGGAACCGAAGAGAATCGACTTGACGTCGGATTGTTCGTAATTGGGCCAGCAACACTGGGCTAGGTGCACCCCAATTCTAAACCTGAAGAAACGCCTCGTAAGGTGTTCGGCAACAGGTCGCTTTCGCTGGGAACGGCTGCCAAAGCCGGGTTAGTTGAAGAACTGAACCGAGCATGGCGCTCCTGGCTATTCCCCCGTGACAAGGTACGCGAGACCGCAGGCTGTTCGGAGGTCACTTCGGGGGCGTCCTCCCGAAGCGGTGGTGTCAACACTGTCGACGTCGGGCGCAGCAGCCTAGAAGTGGGTGCCGTTGTGCGAGCGTGCGTCGGAGAAGGTGGGGCTTGTAAAGACGACCCACGGTCGAAATGTCGCGCGGCGGAATCTGAGGATGTCCGGTGGTCGGGACCAGGGGGACAAGGCGATTCGAAGCCAGACGAATTTGACCCTAAAACTCGCCGGTCGGAACCAGTCAAGTTAGCTATCGGTGCAACAGTCGAAGGCGGACCTTCAACGGAAGCGAGCATAGACGAATTGAGCGTATCCGAAGAAGCACCTGAGGCAATCAATTCGGGCAATTCTTCATCAATCGTCCAAAGGTCATGGCTACTGCCGATCCTATCTGCAGACGACGAGGGGAGCGAACGTGAGGTACTCGACGAATGAGGAGAACTCTTTGGCCCCGAAGGTCCAACGGGTCTGCTCCCACACCTCAAGACAGCACTCACGTCAGACTGATTAGTTTCCGACGANTCCCGATCCTATCTGCAGACGACGTGGAGAGCGAACGAGAGGTGCTCGACGAACGAGAACTCTTTGGCCCCGAAGGTCCAACGGGTCTGCTCCCACACCTCAAGACAGCACTCACGTCAGACTGATTAGTTTCCGACGAAGCAGCAATCCGACGAGGCGAGGGTGCAGAGGTTGCAGACGAGAAGTGCGATGGCGAAGGTGGGATGTGAGCATTTGGCTGAAGACCGACCTGATCGACACTTGAAGAAACAGCGTGTACCTGCGTACCGCTGTCATTGGATAGCACCGAAGTGCGAGAGCGCGTAGGGAGAACATGTACCGAGGTATTGTTGTCGGTGCCTAAGATCGGAGTGCTAGAGGCAACAGAGCGCGTAGAGGGAACATGTACCAAAGTATTGTTGTCGTTGCTTAAGGCCGGAGTGCTAGAGGCAACTGAAGGTGATACACGCGCGTCTTGTTTTGAGCGAGACGAAGTTCCCAAAGATGCTGGAGGCGGTCCGAGGGAAGGAGGCGAACCACCGTCGGGGAGTCATCCGGTACGCGAACGGCCGCCATTGTGGAAGCTACCAGGCTGGCGTGCGTTGTGATTGGTCGAAACCTAGCCAGTTTGAGCATGCGATTGGGGTTGATAGACGGACAGAGCACCAGGGTGGTGGGTGTTGCCAGACGTCTGTTGTGTATGATGATGATTACCCGCGGAATGTTCCGAGGTTTGACCACCGTGGTGTGATTGTTGGTGGTGATTGTGAGAGGAACTACCACCGTCGGAACGGCGAGGCCCAGCGTGGTTTCTATGCTGAGAGGAGGAGGAAGAAGACTGCCGATGGCGTCTACCCTGATTGTTGTTACGTCCATCTGAACCCTTACGCCTGAAGGATCGCATGCGACCTTGCCAACGCCTAAAAGCAGCAGAATCGTCATTGAGGTGGCCCAACTCGGGATAAAACAACCCACTAGAATTCGTGAAGGGAGAAGCACATTGCTTCATGGAATGGTCATCACCCGAGCAGTTCAGACAGCGGTTTCTGTTTTCACGGAAGGCTTGTGAACGAGCCTCTTGTGTCAGCAAAGGAGTCCATAAAAAAGGATCATCGGTGTTACGAAAATTGGCGGTGAGGGCGTATACATCAGACGAGTCGGCTTGCGAAGCAGGCCACGAGTTGTAGTTGTGCGTGAAAGGATCCGTGGCTTGAGGTTGCACGGGCAAAACTACAGAGTTCTGTGCGGAGCCGGATGCCCACTAGCCCGAAGACGCAGGGGCGCGGTGGTTAGACCGCCGAGGCTGTAGAGAGCCACGGGTCGAAGTCAACGAAAAATTAGATGAACCACCGATAGCCGGGGTTTTATTAGTCGCCAAAGGCGCGAACGCCTCTCACATAACCGCAATCGACTCAAAGGGAGTGACAGTGGTGGCCAAAACACCCGGGTACAAAAGCGGAGACAGACTCGGAAATTGCTTGTCGACCGAGTTTCGCACTATTTCGAGAACCATGGATACACTAGGGGCCAAAGTACGCTCAGAGCCAGTCACAGACGAAACTAACAAACGGAAAGTCCGAAGATAATCCGCGAAAGGAGTACCATCTGCTACGCCAAATTGTTGCAGCCGCAAAAACGACTCTTGGCGGTCTCCGACGTCAAATTGCTCAGCCAGGTGACGCAACGATAGCTGGAAAGCGTCTGGTCCAGGGGCTCCTCCATCCAAGCTCCGTTTCACTTGCTGAAAGAAATCGGTAATGGCAAGGACGAGATCGGCGGTAGAGGGCTTGTCAGGGGTGATCGCACTCAAACGTTTTTTGTCGAGAGGAAGTTCCCATCCACGCACAAAATCGGCGCCTGTCAAACCTTCACTCTGCTCATTACACAACAGCAAAATATCGAACAAAGCCGTTCTTGTTGTGCGAATAAGCTGCTGATAGCCATCTCCCGGNAACGTTTTTTGTCGAGAGGAAGTTCCCATCCACGCACAAAATCGGCGCCTGTCAAACCTTCACTCTGCTC